TAATGTCACAACTCTGATAGGAAGAGTTTGATAGCCTCAGGCATATGATAGATTAACGGGGTAGCTTGATTAGGCCATAATTAATTCTATTCATGAACTGCTTCTGTGCGATATATATCTATTATCATGGAGCATTCTAAAGAAAGCACTACCAATACTTAGAGGGACCTCCTCTAGGATTCGGGGAGCTAAGAATCCATCTAACGGTCAACGACTGAATATCTCACCTTTGATTTGGTTCCATTGTTTGATTTTGAGCGTGAAAGAATTACTCAGTAATATTAAAGGTTGGGTAGTGACTATTATGGCATAAAATTACAAAATGCATGTTCTCTTATTAAGTTTAGTCGATACAGCTCTACTAGCTATCGGAGATATAACAACCGTTGAATACCAGGGAGAGTACATTTTTCACTTAAATTAACTTCTGTATATTTAACCTTCACCAATTTCCTAGAGTAGTAGTGTATCACATACTCTAGTAACTCTCGAGTACCTCATTTAAATAGATATATAGTCACCCTATATTTCACCATATAAAAAAGCTGTTGAGTAAATTGAAGAGTGGTAGGTGTTGTTGGAAAGCTTTCACAAATGCTTGGCGTCATAGCTCCGCACTAGTCCACTTTCACTGTCGCTATCATGTGACTGGTGTTAGTCAGCGATCACCAGCGAGTCCCGCCGCCAAACGTCGTCTGGCGCTGAAGGTATTTTCATCATCATCGGCATCCACGCACTGCACCCTACACCATCCCCTAGAGTTCCGCGATCACAGGGTATGATCCGGATGTAGCTATTGCTACCCCTTCCTGGGATTATATGTTCTCTGTCTGATCTCTGAGCGACTCTTTACTGTCACCATGTCTGACTGTACGTGTCACCCCATGGCTTGATCCACCCCGTGACTAACCCTTTTCGCAGCCGATTTCGAAGCCGTCCGGAGGCTCCAAGCTGAGCGGAATGCCGCTGCAGCTGGAAAAAAAGGTTCTAGGACCTTTGATTCGTCTAGCCAGCGCACTGACAACTCGACCAAGGCCTCCCTGACTGAATCCTTCGACACCACCCTTTACGAACGCGAAGGCGCCGACAGGTTTGCGGGCTACGACACTTCGATCGCCGTCAATGGTGATGACGAGGAGATGGAGGATGCGGATGGTGGCCACCGTCTGGTGGGACAGTACACCGCAACCAAGAGTCAGATGGATGAATTTGCCCACGGTAATGGAGTGGAGGAAGAAGACATCCTTCTCGGCCGCGAGAAGGCGGCGAGGATTGCAGACCGCGAGACAGACTACCAAAAGCGTCGATTCAACCGTGGCCCTTTGACCCCCACCAGAGCGGACCCTTTCGCTGCAAACACTCATGCGAACGTTGAGGGAGAGGGCCAGACGTATCGTGAAGTCATGGCTCTGCGTGAGCTTGAAAAAGAAGAAGAGCGTGTTCAGAAGCTGATCGCAGAAAAACAGGCCAGTGGCGAGAACGATGTCGCAGAACATGAGGCCACGTTGAAGTTGGAGGACAAAGAAAACGCTGACGCCGGCTCGACCGTCTCCGTTGCTACGGGACGCAAGCGCAAGCAACGATGGGATGTGGCTTCCGAGTCGACCGAAGCAGCTCCTGAGGCTCCCGAGCCCCAAGAGGCAAAGAAGAAATCACGCTGGGATCAAACGCCCTCCCTTCCGGTCCCGGGCGCCGCCGAGGAAGCACCTAAACGCCGATCGCGATGGGACCAGGCGCCATCTATCACATCAGCCACACCTGTTGGCAACCAGGGGCTCGCGACTCCTATGCACCCTTCACAAGCAGGTGCCGCGCTGATTCCAACCAGCTTTGGAACTGATATCTCTGGCCGCAATGCCCCCTTGTCGGATGAGGAGCTTGACATGATGCTCCCGGGCGAGGCCGATGGTTACAAAATCCTTGACCCCCCTCCGGGATATGCGCCAATCCGAAACCCCGCAAGGAAGCTCATGTCGACACCGGCTCCCATGGCCAGCGCGACAGGTGTCGGGGGCTTCATGATGCAAGAACCCGAAAGCGCCCGAGCTCTAGGCAAGCAGCTCCCAACAGAAATCCCAGGAGTCGGCGATCTTCAGTTCTTCAAGCCCGAGGATATGGCATACTTCGGAAAGCTTATGGAAGGTGGAGACGAGAGCGTGATGTCCGTGGACGAGCTGAAGGAGCGAAAGATCATGAGGCTGTTGTTGAAGGTTAAAAACGGTACACCACCAATGAGAAAGACTGCCCTGCGTCAACTCACAGATAACGCACGTCAATTTGGAGCCGGCCCCTTGTTTAACCAGATCCTTCCGTTGCTCATGGAGAAGTCGCTTGAGGACCAAGAGCGTCACTTGTTGGTCAAGGTCATTGATCGTGTTCTCTACAAGCTGGATGATCTTGTCCGCCCCTACGTGCATAAGATTCTCGTCGTCATTGAGCCGTTGCTCATTGACCAGGATTATTATGCTCGTGTCGAGGGTAGAGAGATCATCTCCAACCTAGCAAAGGCAGCCGGTCTTGCTACCATGATTAGTACCATGCGTCCCGATATCGATCATGTCGATGAGTATGTCAGAAATACAACCGCCCGAGCATTCGCCGTGGTCGCCTCTGCACTTGGTATTCCCGCTCTCCTTCCCTTCCTCCGTGCTGTGTGTCGCAGCAAAAAGTCTTGGCAGGCAAGACACACTGGTGTCAAGATTGTTCAGCAAATCCCCATCCTTATGGGTTGTGCTATTCTTCCTCATTTGAAGGGTCTGGTGGACTGCATTGCCGATAATCTTAGCGACGAGCAAGCAAAAGTCAGAACGGTTACCGCTTTAGCAGTAGCAGCCTTAGCTGAGGCCGCTAACCCTTATGGTATCGAAAGCTTCGATGAGATCCTCAATCCTCTTTGGACGGGTGCTAGGAAGCAGCGTGGTAAAGGTCTAGCTGCATTCCTTAAGGCTGTTGGATATATCATTCCTCTCATGGACGAGGAATATGCCAATTACTATACCAGTCAAATCATGGAAATTTTGCTCCGGGAGTTCTCTTCTCCGGATGAGGAGATGAAGAAGGTTGTTCTTAAAGTAGTGTCTCAGTGCGCCAGCACTGATGGTGTGACAGCCAGCTACCTGAAAGAGCACGTTTTGACCGACTTCTTTAAGAGCTTCTGGGTAAGGCGAATGGCTCTTGACAGGAGGAACTACCGCCAAGTTGTCGATACCACCGTCGACCTTGGACAAAAGGTTGGCGTGGGTGAGATCCTCGAGCGCGTCGTCAACAATCTGAAAGATGAGAGCGAGCCTTACCGGAAGATGACGGTGGAAACTGTTGAGAAACTCATTGCAGCCCTGGGCGCGGCGGATATTTCCGAGAGGCTGGAAGAGAGACTTATCGACGGTGTTCTCTACGCCTTCCAGGAGCAGAGTATTGAGGATATTGTGATTCTGAACGGGTTTGGAACAGCGGTCAACGCACTTGGCACTCGTTGCAAGCCGTATCTTCCGCAGATCGTCAGTACTATTCTTTGGAGATTGAACAACAAGTCCGCCACTGTCCGTCAGCAGGCTGCAGACCTCATTTCTCGCATTGCAATGGTTATGAAGCAGTGTGGAGAGGATGCACTGATGGGGAAGCTTGGTATTGTACTCTACGAGTACCTGGGTGAAGAGTACCCAGAGGTCCTTGGTTCCATTCTGGGTGCTCTACGTTCCATTGTCACCGTTGTCGGTATCAACCAGATGCAACCACCCATTCGAGACTTACTTCCTCGCCTTACACCCATCTTGCGGAACCGTCATGAAAAGGTCCAGGAAAACACCATCGACCTTGTCGGCCGTATTGCAGACCGTGGTCCTGAGTCTGTCAATGCTCGAGAATGGATGCGTATCTGTTTCGAGTTGCTTGACATGTTGAAGGCTCACAAAAAGGGTATCCGTCGTGCGGCAAACAACACTTTTGGTTTCATCGCCAAAGCAATTGGTCCCCAAGATGTTCTGGCAACATTGCTTAACAACCTACGTGTACAGGAACGTCAGTCACGTGTTTGTACTGCTGTCGCCATCGGTATCGTGGCTGAAACTTGCGCCCCGTTCACTGTCCTTCCAGCCCTGATGAACGAATACCGCGTACCTGAATTGAACGTCCAAAACGGTGTCTTGAAGGCCATGTCCTTCTTGTTCGAGTACATTGGCGAAATGGCAAAGGACTACGTTTATGCCGTTACGCCTCTTCTCGAGGATGCTCTTATCGATAGAGACCAGGTGCACCGACAGACCGCCGCCAGCGTTGTCAAGCACATTGCTTTGGGTGTGGTCGGCCTTGGGTGTGAAGATGCAATGGTCCATCTTCTCAACTTAGTATTCCCCAACATCTTTGAAACCAGTCCTCACGTTATCGACCGTGTTATTGAAGCCATTGATGCTATCCGTATGGCTGTTGGCACGGGAGTGGTCATGAACTATGTCTGGGCAGGCCTGTTTCACCCTGCTCGTAAAGTCCGTACACCATACTGGCGGCTTTATAACGATGCATATGTGCAAAGCGCGGATGCAATGATTCCATATTATCCGACCTTGGAAGATGATGGCTTGGAGAGATCTGAATTGTCCATAATAGTTTAAAAGCGACTTGCTTGCTTATGTATCGTATCATTTCACTTCCTAACTGTTAAGTTCGTTTCGCTGGCATTATGAGCCTGTTTAATCGCGCACGGTGTTCTTGATGGTGGGATTGGCGTGTATTTATTCTCATGGGGCCAGGTATCAGATATAAGAAATGACATTATGGTTATGTCAGTCACCGATGCCATCGGTTACTTATTTAGCGTAATGCATCAGACTAGTGATCGGACGTCCGATATTGTGCTTCGTTCCCCCGCATTGCTATGCGGATGCTCGGCGAAGGTCCGCGGCTACGAGAGTGTCTTGACTCAATCTCCGACTACTCGGCTATATAAATCCAAACCTATTGCGAAAACATCTATCCTGAATCAAACTCGAGCTCCATTAGCAGTAATGGCTCTCCCTCCTCACTGCGACGTCCTCGTCATTGGAGGCGGCAATGCCGGTTTCTGCGCCGCCATATCAGCAGTTCAATCTGGTGCTCAGAAGGTGATCATCATTGACAAATGTCCTGAAAACTGGGCGGGAGGAAATTCTTACTTCACTGCAGGAGCATTCCGGACTACCCATGGTGGTCTGGAGGATCTCCTTCCTATTGTGAATAACGTTGATACGGCCACCGCGCAGAAGATTGATATGAATCCGTACACAGCGGCTGACTTCACGAATGACATGGAGCGAGTGACAGGAAAGAGGGCGGACCGTGAGCTCAGCCGAGTCCTCGTCGACGATTCGAATGCAACTGTCAAGTGGCTTGCGGAGAATGGTGTTCGGTTCCAGCTTTCTTTTAACCGACAAGCGTATGAGGTGAACGGTCGGATCAAGTTCTGGGGGGGTCTAGCCTTGAAGACCCAGGATGGAGGCAAAGGGCTCATTCAAGACCACCTCCGGACGGCCCAGAAACTGGGTATTGATGTTTTCTTCTCAACGGCTGCAGAGAGGCTCGCCACAGACCCAGTGACCCGTGCTGTATCGTCGGTGTCGGCTGTGCACCATGGCCAAGTGAAGGTGATCAAGACAAACGCCGTGGTACTCGCTGCTGGTGGCTTCGAAGCCAACTCGCGGATGAGAGCACAGTTTCTGGGGCCCCATTGGGACACCGCCTTAGTTCGCGGTACCCCGTATAATTCGGGCGAATGTCTCGAGATAGCCATCCGCGATGTATCAGCTAAACAAGTTGGCAACTGGTCCGGGTGTCACTGCGTGGCATGGGACGCAAATGCACCCGCCAATACAGGGGACCGCGAGATCTCCAATGAGTTTACCAAGTCTGGCTACCCATTAGGGATCATGATCAACCGTCAAGGCTCTCGATTTGTGGATGAAGGCTCGGATCTACGCAACTACACCTATGCTATGATCGGGCGACAAATCCTGCATCAGCCCGGTCATGTTGCGTTCCAAATCTGGGATTCGCGGACAATCTCCTGGCTGCGGGAGGAAGAGTATCGACCAGAAGTGGTGCAGCACATTACAGCATCGTCGATATCAGAGCTGGCGGCGAAATGTGCGGCGGAGCATGATCTGGAGGACAAGGATCGGTTCGAGCGGACGATCCATGAGTTTAATAACGCAGTTTATGAGAGTCAACGGCTGAATCCTGGCCAGCAATGGGATCCGGCCGTAAAGGACGGCCTCTCAACTCAGTCGAATGCATGTGCACTCAGCGTCCCCAAGTCCAATTGGGCGTTGCCTATCGACCGGCCTCCGTTCCTGGCTGTAAAGGTCAGTGCGGGTATCACCTTTACATTTGGTGGTTTGGAGGTGAATCCAGAGACAGCTGCTGTGGTTTCGTCTACGACGAACTGTGAAATCCCTGGGTTATACTGCGCTGGGGAGATGGTTGGGGGACTCTTCTATGACAATTATCCCGGGGGTAGCGGGTTGACGTCGGGAGCGGTTTTTGGACGCAGGGCAGGGAGAGCTGCTGCCAGGGCTTCTACAATTGCTGTCCGATGATATTGTTCTCTGCGTGGACAGGGATTCAGTCGATTGATGTCAGATGCTGCACTTGGTGGTACTTGTTGTTACCCAATGCTACCGTCTGTACTACTTTGATGTCCGATTTGGTGCCGTACATATGAATCGGACACTGGTGGAATTTAAAGTAGGCTAGGGTGTTGCACGACATTTACTATTCTTTTTATTATGTATCTTTTCTGTTCTTCTTCCATTTTCTTCTGTTCTCTCTTTCGCCATGAAACAAATCCATGAGTCTCAGAATAATGATTATATATATTCAGCTATATACCATTGGACCAAGTGCACGCCGGGTAAATATCGGATGATAGGCATTCTGCTTCGTATCTACGGCATATATATTAAACGGGTGTATATTGATATCATGAATCTACCTGATATACTCTCTGTGGGAAACTTCTATACGTCGCTGATATATACCACGTACACATACTACTGCTGATTGTGAATATAGAGACGCTGACATAAGCAGAGGAGCAACAATACACATTATGTCCACTCCCAGTATCTGGGAACGGTTCTGTACCACCACACCAACAAACTCAATAGACAATCATTACAACTATGGGAAAGCCTACTAATATCTCTCCTTACTTTAAGAGCCATAAACTGTCGCACACACATACACATGCACATTGACACCTTTCTTGCAAGCCAATTTGCAAAATATAATCAAAAACTACTTTGTCAGAAAAAAAAAATAGATTAAATTCTGCCTTTTTGATTTAGTTGATTTGTCTTATTTTTTCTCTCTCTTTTCTTCTTTACTGATTTGCCACATGTCGCCGATGCCAAGCATTCGTCCTGCAGGCCGTGTCTGTAGCTGACTAAAGTAAAGTGCCGCGTAAGCCTTCTCCATCGTCCTTGTCATGTGCGGGCTTGGCGGCAGGGATCTGTGGGGAAAGGTCAGCCAATGGCCGAACATTCTCGGATGAGCCCTGCAGACTGAGTGGTCGTCATGGAATGGTTCAGGGATTGCGTGGGATTTTGGAACGTCTGTATCAGATATGTTGTTATGATGACCTTCTGACTGGTTCGGAGGTCACCTCAGTCTTGTCAACTAGGGATGTGTCTACGTAGGACCCTGGATTATGAGAATACTACCCATCCTTTGATTTAATTTTATCTATTTATATATGCTGGATTGTGAGGTATTTTATTTTTTCTTGCTAGATTAACTCAGATGGATTGATAGTGGATGATTTGGCTTGGGAAGGAAGTCAGCGAACTAATCCACTACTAGTAGTTAGTAAGGGTCTGAATGGGCGCTCGAGCGCTGGCCTCCTAAATTGGGGTTTTACATTTCCATAATTTTTTATTTTATTTTTTATTTTGCATCCACAAGTTGAGATTTCATACCATTCATTTCATTTTGAAGAATGGTTTTGTTTGCAGTCGTGTGGATTTTGACTGGCTCGGAATGAGGAGGGAGAAGTACCTCAATCATGTCGGTATGTACGGAGTATAATGGAGCTACTATAGGTATTCGTCGGCCCTTCGATAGCGAGTCGAAGCCTAGTGACAGTCGATAAATCAGATAACCAATGCCTAATAGAAAAAAGAAAAGAAAAGAAAAAAGAAAAAAGTAAAAGAAAATGTCGATCTATTAGACATCCCAGCACAGAACGAGGAACGGCAAATACCGATACACATCTATCTATCTATCTGCAATGCAGACACCACAGCATGGTACCCCTGCATCCTCCCCTCGCTCACCTTACCTCCGGACACGCGCCCCTGGTTCTTGCCTAATAGGGTTGAATCGCATGGAAATAATTTCCTTGATGTGGCTGCTTTCTCCTACTCAATTTCCCTGTTTCCGTCGGCGAGACCGAAAAGGAAAGTTAGGGCACAGGGTAACTCGTAGCTAAACTTCTTCTCGCCCCGTCTTGGGGGCGAGAGGTCCGAGAGGAGTGCATTACGAAGCGACCTGAAATTAACAGCGATTAAAATAGAACATATCGCCGTCGTTGTCCGCGAAGGCAAATTTGCAGTTGCAATCGTCGTGTCGAATGAGACTCTGGGGTGGAGGGAGAAACGAGATAGTACCTGCGTTGCCCCTCGGTTCATGTGAGAGATCAGGTACCGAGCGTCACTTTTGTGTGTTCAGACATTTCGTATCTGCACATGGACTGCTAGCTTCGTGTAAAGATACTACACACTGCATAGCATTACTTTACGGACACTACTATGGTTTTCTTCCCGTCCCCATCGTGACCGGTGGTAGACTAGATGACGACCCCCATCCGGAAGGATCGTCTCTATATGAAGAGGTCCCCATAATGATACTCAGGAACAGAATTCACCACTTTCTATTCTTGTCCATGTCATTTTACCCAACTGCCCCTTCCAGTTAGCCCCAGATGCAGGGACTCCCCTCCATCCCACCTGGCAGTCGTAAGCTCAAACGCTTTGATCAAGGTCTGCCTCGACCCATGTTTGCATTTTGGGGTCGAGGAAACGGGTGCCAGTCAGACCGAATCCACTGCAAGGTGACAACCACTGTACGGAGTACGTACGCAATCATTCAATCTATTTCACCGAGTATTAGCCAAAGAGAAATTTGGATTCCTGCATGTGGGTTTCAAAGTTAGTTAGATGCAGTGTCTGTGTGGTTTCATACTGAGATTCCTCCATCCATCGTCTCTCCCTTTCATGAACGACCAGCACATGCCCACCACCGCCATTGACATACGCCAAGACCGTGGGGCTCCACTTTCTGCACACTAGATGTGTTTTTCCCGTCGGGGATCACGCCAAAGGCTGCTGCCAGGTGAAGCTTGTTCAAGGGTCCTCCTTTGACCATTCATCTTTGGGACTCTTGAAGAGAGAGAAAAACATTAGAGATGTTGTCGTAGGTTACTCCGGACTATAATTGAAGATCTACAGTTTGACTGGCACGTTGAGTTCACCACGAGTATCAAAGCCAATGATGAGAACCAGCCGCAAACGCAACCAGCAAGGTAAAAATTTTACTCTGAAGAACAAAAAACAGGGATACCCCTGAGACCTACGTAATGCTGCTTAACCAGTAGAACAAGAGTTAATCAAACAATGGATAACAAGTCGTTCTATTACAAGCATCACTCGACCCCCCTTCTCATGGCAGCCCAATATGACGGTTAGGGCCCAGTGATATCATGCGCGATATCAAACTCCAGTTAGAGTGCTGTTCTTGAAAAGGGTGGGACGCCAGCTCCGGCTCTAGTGTGGATGAACGGTGCGTTTCATCTGACTGCTAGCCGCAACCCTGAGAGTGGCAGTGTTGTGGAGCCGAGCCAGGATCGCACGCAGGGATTCAGGGTAATGGCTTGCGGGGGAGCGTGCTTTTCTTTTGCTCATTTTCCAATGGGGGAGGTATGCTATTGATGTTGCCCAGTGGGTAATACTATTTTCTTTTTCTGGTATTTTGGGAAAGTCTTTTCAATTCCAAAATACCCCAAAGCGACCCAACAACCACCATCATGCCCCCGTTAAAACACAGCCAAAAGCAAAACTTCCACGATACCATACCCGAAGCAGTAAGGTTCCCCCAAAATAAGGAAAGCTTCGTGAGATGTGCACGCGTCAGCTCCTGTGGGCCCGATTACTCTGATTGGGTTATCTGGTCGAGCCAAGCTCGGCTATCGACTATCTGCCGTCCCTGGGGCATGTGGCTGCATCACCCTGTCTTTTCCTTAAAAATGAATCATGCCTGCGCACCAATCGCGTGTGCCGTGAAATTTTCTTAGTCGTTGCCCTTTTTGCAGTAGGCTTATCTTAGTTCGGATAGGGGATGTGGGATCCGCTCATGAACTATACCTATCTCAGAATAGTGATTACCATTCCAGGACTTGGTGCTAACCATGTGTGTGGATTAGATCCTGGATTGAGTTGACTAGTCAACCTAACTAACCTACTTAAACTTAGCATACTCTTTCGAAAAGAGTTTAGCACTAACCTCTCTAAGCTACTGAACGAGGCTACTGGGTAGGATTTACCGATGTAGGCAGTTGGTTGTCGGGAATCGCGACCAATTGAGAGTTATCAACTTCCCCTAGCGGAATGCGTGTAGGCATAGCCTGCCCTTTTGGGAGTGTTAGCTGGATTGAGTACCAACAGTTTAACTCTCCTGATGGAGTCAGGTGCTATTTGATCAAAATTTTTGGGGGGACACGCGGGAGTGAACAACTTCCCCCCCTAATACACGACAAGTTTAAATCGTAAAATTAATATCCATACTGGATGGAGATTTTCTTTTGGTCCTCATGGCTCATGGTCTATCGGTTGCTCTATTAGCTTGGCGCTTCGACTGGTTCTTCCGGCCTTTCGGGGACCTCAGCGCGCGGGTTGTGATCCGTACCCCGGGGCCCGTAGAACTTCAAGATACAAGGTTTTCTCTAGTCCATGGAACGGAGAGATTCTGGAATTCCAGGTACGCTGTTCTATGTGTGTCGATGGGAATGAAACAACGACCAACTAATGTATCAACCAGTCTGCAGACAATCCCGCAAGCATACCCAACCAGCATCCTTCCCTATTCTCAAACTTCCCTCACACATATACATATACTATCCGATACTATATTCCAGGATGTTAACAATGTATTATACTAACTCCTTTCCTTTACTGGTTCTTGCGTCTGTACCAGAGACAACAACGCCAATCATGACGATCTGCCGAATGGATCTGCCAAGATGGACCCCGTGCAGATGACAGATGTTTAAAAAAAAAAATTAGAATTTTTTTTTTCTCTGGTTTTTCTTTTTACCCAATACCTGAATCATTATATGTCTCATCCGGGAAAACGATTTTTCATAATTAAAGTACCGCGGATCATCAGTTCCTGAAGACTCGAACTCGACCTTCTGGAGCTAAAGTGCCGATGGCGGTCCCCATCTGCCGAGATTGTCCGCCAATTTCTATGACTGTTGTTTTAGTTCCTTTTGGGTTGTTTGGAAATGTAGGTAGTTCTTACTGTGCATGTATACGGAAGTCAA